AGGGTCTCCGCGGTCGCGTGCACGGCCCGCCCGCCCGCCGGGGTGCCTTCGCGCCCCTCCTGGCCCACCCTGGCCGGGGCGCTACGGCGTCCTTCCGCACGGATGGGCGGTTGTGTAAGCCGCAGTCGCTGCCCAGGAAACCTGGAAAAACGAAGTAGCCTGCCCATTTAAGGGCTTTTCTTTCGATAGTGTGAGCATCTGCCTTCAGATGTTGCAGCGGCCCAGCCAGGGATTGTGGCTGCCTGCTGTAATCCCAAGGTTTGCGAGGCTGAGGCAGGAGAAGCGCTACGAGTGTACTACCATCCAGGGCTACAGAGCAACATCTTGTTTGGAAGTAGAAAGAAAAAAAAGACCGGGTTTAAACTCTTGCTTGTCTCCAGCTCTTTTGTGACTTTCCACCCTCCACTCCACAGGGAGTTTACGTTTACTTGTTCCATGGTATTTATGCTATTTAGGAAATTGTGAGGAAAAAAAAGATTCCCGGCCACATCCTCCTTTTTCCTGCTTCTGTTGAACCCGGGGTCTTTATTTTTCCTGAAAAGCTGCACTACTTACCCAATCTAGAAGCCAAAATCAATTTATGTTGCATCTTTTTATTATCCTTCGACATCCATTCCAGCACTAAACCAAGGCAATTCGGTCTCCCCTGTCGCCACTCTCAGAAGTCCCAGGAGGGGACCTGGCCTGGGATGTTACATCTCTGGTGTATTCATAGTGGTTTTAAAAAGGTGGTTGTTGAATCAATGCTCAATTTATTATCTGCATTTTCACAGATAAATTACTTCAATGAGACTCAACTTCCTTATTGATGTATCCATTTACTCAAAAAGTATGGACTGGGAGTCGACCCAGTACCAGGAACTCAACTTGAGGATTCAGAACTGAAGAAAAATTTCAAACTAACCTATTTTTACGGGCTTTCATTTTCGTGCAGAGAGAGAATCTTTAAAAAGGATTTTGAAGGCGGAACGTTAAATGGAGCTGAAGCACGGGAGAAAAACAAGGACCAGGCATGCAGAAGCTGTATTTGCCCAAGACCAGCCGGGGAAACAAAGCAGGTGAGTTTCCTCTGTTGGGAGGGTGGTGGCGCTCGCTCTAGCAATTAAAGGTGCTACCTTCAAGGGAAGTGCTCAGTAGAGAGGCTGTTATTATTATTCTCCTTTCTGGTTAAAACCATGAGTTTCACTTCCCTCCAGGGATTCCCACCTTTCAATTTTCCCCCCTCTAGAATGTTCTTTGAGAAAGCACTATTCTTCACTGTTTCCGCCTTTTCCTCGTGGAAAGCCAGCTTGACTAAATCTCCCCTCATGACTGGTCCTGCCTACCAAACAGGCGTGGTCTTGTCCAGCACACCCTGTGACCCCTGTCTCTTTGACCTGCAGTGCTGAATACTCATACTAAGAAGCCATGGCATGCTTTCCCAAGCCCCCTTCTGCCTTTGTGTGGGCTCCTCTCGTTGTCTGGAACATTTGCTTGTCTTTTCTACTTAGCAGAGTTTGTGGTGCCTTCAAGTCTAGCTGATGAGTGACATTTTTGAAAACTTTCACAGATTTTGTGGCCGACCTAACTAACCTTATCTTCTGATTCAGCTGTATTCTAAAGGAGCTTGGATATAAAAGTTATAGAAGTCACTTATTTGGGGTGTATAATCTGATTGGTTTATTGTATATTTACAGAATTGCACAACTGTCACCATAACTTAATTTTAGAATACATACATACATACACACACACACACACACACACACACACACACACATATATATATATATATATATATATATATATATATATATATATATATATAAAATCTTTGAAAGTAACCTTGTGCAGATTACCAGTGTTCTGGTGTTGATGATAAATGCCCCCTAAAGCTGTGTGCTAAAAGTTTCACCCAGGGCTGCTGGGGCTATTAGGAGGCAATAGAAACTCTGAGGGGGAGGCCTGGTTGGAGGAAGTATGTCATGGGGAGATTCCTATTTTTGTGGCTTTTGTTTTGTATTTTAGACTGGGTCTCACTCTTTAACACAAGTTGGCTTCAAACTCTATAACCTTGGCTGACCTCAAAGCCACTGCAGCCTTGCTGCCTTATCCTCCTGAATGCTGATTATAGGCATGAGCCACCAAACCCGGTTGGTGGAGAGCATGGGGCTGCCCTTCCCAAGTCCCTGCTTCCTTTCCCTCCAGGGAATCTTAAAGAGTCTTATTAATAAAATCAAACCTGTGGCCAGTTATTGGGGTGAATTCTGGAAGATCAGAGAGACAAAACAAACCACAGCCCACCTCACCTGGCCAACTTCTCAGCTGGTCTTGTTTCCTCAGACTGGAAGCTTCTGTGTCCTCATCCCAATGGCTCTCAGCTGAACTGCTGCTCAAAAGCCTGAAGCTTAACCAGCCAAATGCTTTTAGTTTCTGGTCCTCACGCCTTATATACCTTTCTGCTTTCTACCATCACTCTCTGGGATTAAAGGCTGGCTTTCTGGCATTAAAGGCATGTGTCACCATGCCTGGCCATTTCCAATGTGGCCTTGAACTCACAGAGATCCAGAGGGATTTCTATCTCTGGAATGCTGGGATTAAAGGGGTGAGTGCCATCCTTTTCTAGCCTCTGTATCTAGTGGCTGTCTGTTCTCTGACCCCAGATAAATTTATTAGGGTGCACAATATTTTGGAGATCACAATACCACCACATTTCCCCTTTTTTGTCTAGAATTAAAAAAAGCTTATAACTAATACAAGAAAAATTATGTCCAATAAGTATATACAATATACACAGTCAAGATTACATTAATGATGTCTAGTCCATTAACGTTTGACAGATTCAGATAAAAAAATTCTATTATATATATTACAATGTCCAGTCCAATAGCATTTGATAAACTCAGACAAAAAAATTTTATTACTTATCTTATTTAAAACTAGTAGCTCCTTTTTAAAAGTAGATTTTATAATCTCTCTTTTTATTTTATCATGACCATATTCTCTTTTTTTTTGTAATGGATTCAGTAGTCTACCTTTTGTTATTTTTATATCTTTTCCCTTTTTTTAGTGTAGATTCAGTGATCTACCTATTTATCCTATTATATTTTTTTATTATTTTTCTCAGAGTAGATTTGATGATCTATCTCATATCTATACTTTCTTTTTTTTCCCCCTAGGGGTGAAGATACTTTAGGGAATCTTGAAAAGAAAAAAATTAGGTTAATTGTCAAGTCCTGTATCATTTGTCACAAGTCCTTGTTCGAGTAGTCTGTTAGGTTGGATCATCTCAGGTTGGATCATCTCAGCTAGTCATCTCGAAATTGTCCTGAGCAGTCTTTCTATGATGTTAATCAGCTTAATGGCTTTACCATAGTCCATGTGGAATCATCCTTGTGGGATCCTGTCATCCTTTTGAAGGTTTCAAAGTCGCTGTTAGGCGTGGTCATGGTTCCCTGAAGACTTTTTTTTTCTCTGACCCCAGATAAATTTATTAGAGTGCACAATATTTTGGGGAACACAATACCACCACATCCAGGTCACAGTCTGTCCCTCTCCCTCTTTTTCCTTCTCTTCCTGTCCTCTCTCTCCTGAGGTAAGCGGCTTTGCTCCATCCCATCCCCGGTGTCCCACATCACCACAAGGCAGACGTGATGAGGCCAAGCAATCACAGACTGGAACTCCTGAAACTGGAATGGAGGCGAAGTTGTCTAGACCAGCTGTTTGTTCCAATGACAGAAAGCTGGTTAGCATACTCGTTTTTATGAAGTGGCGTGCTGTATTCTGATCGAAAATCTGCCTTCCCGCTACACCAGTGTTCCAAAGGAACATGGCATCTTTTCATTGCATCTCCTAAGGTTTGGCACTGTCTTGTCAAGTGGTTTTGCTTTTAGACGGGATCTCACTTATGCTGCTCTGGATGCCTTTGAACTCACAGACATCTGCCTACTTCTGCCTCCTCTCAAGGAGTCCTGGCAGGAAATCCAAGCCCGCCACACATTGCCAGTTCTTGGCCACTGTTTTGGAACCTTGATGCAAGCCCTTATGACCCTGTGATTCTTGAATTTTGCACAATTGCAAAAGTAGCACCCCATGACTATGCTGCCAAGTTCCTTTGCCAGCTTAAGCTGTGCTCCGGCTCTGGCACCTTCTACTGTAGTACTACTGGCCTCTTTCCACCGTGGTGACTGAACACTGGAAACGTTTCTCTGGGTGCTTGTTTTCAAGCAGGGGCCCCTCCAGCTGTTGTTTCCAGTCTCTTTCCTTTCACATTGATGGGCAGTTTTACAAGTTGGAGCTTCCAGGGTGGTCCTGCTCCAGGGCACCTGTCTTAGTTGATGTTTTTGTTGCTGTGATAAAATACTCTGACTAAAGCACTTTAAGGAAGGAAGGAAGGGCCACTTGCTTGCAATTTGAGTTTGCAATCTGTCATGATGGGGAACTCACAGTGGCAGGAGCTTGAAGCTGGTTACAAACATCCACAGTCACCGGGCGGTGGTAACATACACCTTTGATCCCAGCGCAGGGGAGGCAGAGGCAGGTGAATCTCTGTGAGTTCGAGACCTGCCTGGTCCACATAGTGAGTTCCAAGACAGCCAGAGCTACACAGAGAAACCCTGTCTCAAAAAACCAGAACCAAACCAACCAACCAACCAAACAAACAAACATAAAACAAATATCCAAGAAACAGAGAAAGATTAATGCCTGTGCTCAGCTCACTTTCTTCTTTTCACACAGTTCAGGGAATGTGTGCCACCCGGAGCAGGTGTGTCTTCCCACAGCCTGATCAAGATAACGCCTACAAAGGCATGCTCAGAAGCGCGATCTCCCCGGTGAGTCCAGATCTTATCAAGTAGACAGTTGAGATCAGCCCACAGCACCGTGCCAGCCATTAGAGCTCCTTTCCTGGCACCTGCCTCGTGTGCAACTGTAAACGTGTTGCAGCCCCTTGTGGTGGATTAAATGAGACTTTTTATGGGCTCATCATATGCTGGTCCCTGTTTGGTGGAACTGTTTGGGAAGGGTTAGAGGCGTGGCCTCACTGGAGGAGGTGTGTTACAGGGGAGAGGCTTTAGGGTTTCAAAGGACATGCGCTGCGTCCCCAGTGACTCATTCTGTCTCTCCCACTCTCTGATCAAGCAGTGAGACCTCAGCTGTCCCTGCTGCCACGCCATCATGGACTCTCACCCGCTGAAAACATGAGCCCAGATTAAACACATTCTTTTTTAAGTTGCCTTGGTCATCGTGTTTTATCATGGCAATAGAAAAGTAACTAAGATACTCCTTTTCTTGCCAAATTGTACGCCCCTTCCCCCTGGCGCCCCTCCCCCCGTGCCCCTCCCCCACCCTCCCACCTTCTGGCTCTGCTCGCTGCCTTTTCTTACAGAAAACGTAAATAAAAGCAGTGATTTAGCTGGAGATGCAGTTAAGAACTGGACTGCTCTTTTAGGAGACCGGAGTCTGGCTACCATCCCCACAGCAGGTGGCTTCTAACCTTTTGCCTTGGCAGGTGCTTGTACTCAAATGCATGTACCCTCACACACACACACACACACACACACACACACACACACACACACACACACAAAATTAAAAATGCATCTTTTTAAGTAGTAGTGAACCATAGCCATATCATAGCCTGAGTCCTATGCTGTCTTGGAATTTCTTCTGCCAAACAAATTCATTCGTTACCTTTTTAATAATTTTTTTCATTTTTTTTCACCATAATTACATAATTTCCTGTATTCCCTTTCCTCCCTCCAAGCCCTCTCCTCTGTCTCTGAAAGTCCTGGCCTCTCTTCTTTCGTTGTTACCTGGATACATATACGTATTCCTAAGTACATAAATATAACCTGCTCAGTCTGTATAATGTTAGCTGGATGTATACGATCTCAGGGCTGACCACTTGAATTCAGTCTCATTTGAGTTCTCAGGACACAGGCGGGCTGCAGTCATATTCCTTGCCTGAATGTCACGAATAGCCTCTAGTCCAGTTTCCAACACAGTCCCTGTTACTCTCTGAAGCCTTGTGAGCCAGAATCGTAGTGTCTAAACTTTCTGTTGCATTCTGACCTACTCTCCCACACTCCCATCAGCACGTCCCATTCAGCTCTGCTTATAACACTGCACAGCAGTGGTTCTCAACCTTCCTGACGCTGCGACCCTGTAATACCGTTCCTCGTGTGTGGTGACCCCAACCATACAATCATTTTCATTGTTACTTTATAACTGTAGTTTTGCTGCTGTTATGAATCTCTGTGTAAATATCTGATGTGCAGGATATCTGGTATGTGACCCCTGTGAAAGGATCATTTGGCCTCCCAGTGGGGTCGAGACCCACAGGTTGAGACCCACAGGTCCGTACCGTAATTTTCTCTCACAAACCGGTCCCAGAGGCTTACAAACATCCAGTCAGCAGTCCCGACCACCGCCCTACTTCTGGGCGGGCTTTCTGTAGCTTTTTGCTTTTGTCCTCGCTGTGACAGAATAGTTGACGAAAGCTATTGGAGGGAAGGGGTTATTTAGGCACCCGAGTTGAGAGGACAGAGTCCATCACGACAAGGAAGGTGTATGGCTGTGGGAACTTGAGATGGCCGGTCCTGGCATGTCCACAGGCAATAAGCAGAGAGAGGCGAATGCTGGTATGCTGCTGGCTCCCCTCTTGTCCCTTTTATTTCATCGGGGACCCCAGCCTCATGATTGGTGCCGCCCACATTCAAGGTAGGTCTTCCCTCAGCTAAACTCTGAAAACTCCCTGAGATAGCCTTGGAGATGTGTCTCCTTGGTGACCCCCAGTCTCTGCAAGTTGACAGTGATGGTTATCTTAAGTCATTGCTAACAGGCTGGGCGCTCTCCAAGGGTCAGTGCGAAGTGGAAGGGTAGCCATTCTACTGACATTGGTTTTAAAGCTGGTGCTTGTTCTTTCAAACTGTTAACCATCTTTCTACCTCCTGCTGTGCGAGGCAGGAGCCATCGTGGACAGACTTCTACATCAGTGTTCTTTATTTTCAGCTAAAACGTTACAGTGCAAGCCGTCTATGCCCAGAAGCATTCCTGCCTAAAATGTTAACATCCTTACAAATATGCTCCATGACCTGGAGCAAAGCATGTCAAAATATGCATCAGTCTTCAAGTATGACCTTAAGTTGAGAATTTTCAGAAATGTACATTTTTTTTTTCCAAGACAGGGTTTCTCTGTGTAGCCCTGACTGTCCTGGAACTCTCTCTGTAGACAAGGCTAACCTCTAGCATCCGCCTCTACCTTCTCAGTGCTGGGATTAAAGGCATGGGCCACCACTGCTGGGCTTGGAAATGTACTTCTTAACTGAGCATGCTCAAGGATGTGGCAATGCTTAACAATGCTTTCCTATAGGTGTGTGTATATATATTGGAGTATCCCATATAGCTTCCTTTCATCTTGCTCATACACACACGTATATGTATGTGTGTGTGTGTGTGTGTGTGTGTGTGTGTGTGTGTGTATGCTGTACTGGCTGGTTTTGTGTGTCAACTTGACACAAGCTAGAGTCATCAGAGGAAGGAGCCTCAGTTGAGGAAATGCCTCCATGAGATTCAGCTGTAAGGCATTTTCTCAATTAGTGATCAATAGGGGAGGGCCCAGCCCATGGTGGGTGGTGCTATCTCTGGCTGGTGGTCCTGGGTTCTATAAGAAGGCAGACTGAGCAAGCCATGGGAACAAGCCAGTAAGAAGCTCCCCTCCATGGCCTCTGCATCAGCTCCTGCCTCCAGGATCCTGCCCTGCTTGAGTTCCTGTCTTGACTTCCTTCAGTAATGAAGTGCAATATGGAACTGTAAGCCAAATAAACCCTTTCCTTTTTGATCATAGTGCTTGGTCACAGCAATAGAAACTCTAACAAAGACATAAATTGGTACTAGGCACTGGGGTATTACTGTGATAGACCTGGCCATGGTTTTGTTTGGAGGAATTGGGACTTTGGTACTTTGAGTTAGGAAAGCAGTGGGATGCTTTAAGTGCTACTTAATGGGCCATACTATTAGGAACATGGAAGACAGTGGTGCTAAGAGTTATTTGAACTGTCAGAGGCTAGCTCAAGAGGTTTCAGAGGAGAAGAATTTTAGTCTGTTGCCTTGAGATTGTTCTTGGGATATTTTGGTGAAGAATGTGGCTGCGTTTTGCCCTTATCTGCAAAGTCTACCTGAGGCTAAATTAGAGAGTTTTGGATTAATTCTCTTGGCAGAGGAAATCTCAAAATAGCCTAGTATAGACTCTGCTGTGTGGTTATTAGTGGTAACTCTAATGAAGATTTATACTGAAAAGGAGCAAGCTGAGCAGGGTCAATTACACAATGTAAAATTTGAGGAGAAAAGGAGCACCAGGAAGTGGAATGGAGCTATGACCTAAGTCCTGTGTTCAAGGAGATAAACAGATTAAGAAATGGAATAAAAACTGAACAGTGACGGCTCATGCCTTTAATCCCAGCACTTGGAAGGCAGAAGCTGGCAGATCTCTGAGTTTGAGGCCAGCCTGGTCTACAGAATGAGTTCCAGGACAGCCAAGCTTAGGCAGCGAAAGTAACCATCAAAACCAGAAATCTGGTGAAGATGTAACTGAGCAATGTGGCCATGTTCCAGCCCCAGCAAACATCAGAACTTGGCAGCTTTGGCCACGTGGTCCTGGCTTTAGAGTTAAGGGTAGAAGAAAGAGGTTATGGAATTTGCCTCTGCGCCTAAGTAAAGCCGAATGAAGAACTAGAGAGTCCATTTCATGAAGCTGTGAAGTTGAAGCCTGGATTGGCTAGGAGACCCCAAGATTTTGGAGATGCCAGAGCCATGGGACACCCGAAGAGGAAAGCTGCTGAACAAGGAGTGGAGCCAGCCCAAGAGAACGATGCGTGTTATGTTCATCAAAACTGAAAGAAGTTGGAGATCTGAAGAACATTTTGACATCAGACATGGGGATGCAGAGTTTGGAGTCTGCCCAGCTGGTTTTTGGTCTTGCTTTGGTCCAGTGTTTCCTCGCTATGCTCCCTTCCTTATGTTTTGGAATGGTAATGAATATTCTGTGCCATTATATATTAGAAATAAGTGATCTGTTTTTTTTTTTCATTTTTATTTTATAGGGGATTTCGGTTAAGAGATTGCATGAATGTCAGAAGAGACTTTGAACTTTAGTCATTTAAATAAGTTTGAGATTGTTAGAGACAATGGGGACTTTTGAAGTTGGACTAAATGCATTTTTGCATTATGACTTGACTACTAACCTTTGTGGGCCTGGGAGAGGAATACCTTGGTTTGAAAGAAAATGGCCCCCAAAGGGTGTGGCCTTGTTGGAGTGGGTGTGGTCTTGTTGTCAGAAGTGTGTCACTGTGGAGGCGGGCCTTGAAGTCTCATACATGCTGAAGTCATGCCCAGTGAGACAGTTCACTTCTGGTTGCTTGCTGGTCAAGATGGAGAACTCTCAGCTCCAGAACCATGTCTGCCTGTATGCCACCATGTCCCACCATGATAAGGGACTAAACTTCTGCAACTGTAGTCACCCCGATAAATGTTACCCTTATAAGAGTTGCTATGGTCATGGTGTCTCTTCACAGCAAAAGATACCCTAACTAAGACGCGCGCACATACACACACACACACACACACACACACACACACACACACACGCACGCACGCGCACACACACACTTCCTGAATAAAGTCCCTGCCTTCCTCCTGTGCTCTCCTTACCTGTCATAGGCAGTCCTTCCTCTGCCCTTTCTCTACTGGGCTGTGCTTGCTTTGACTTTGTGTTCGTTAAGTTAGGAACTCAGTTGTACCAACTTGAAATGTACTTATGTTTACCCTTGTATTTCCGAGAAAATACCCCATGCTGCTTTTACTTCAGTTGCTTCAACATACCACATCTGATTAGTCAAAAGACTTTAAATGGAGGTGTGCGCCACCACCGCCTGGCTTCTGCTATAGCTCGCTATTAGCTCTGACCCCCAGGCAACTTTATTTATTAACATACAAATAAAATCACATTTCAGCACACACACACACAAACAACACTTTAAATGGTTTTGGGGTTCGGCAAGATGGAATGTCAGTTTGGGTCATCTGTTTGTCACCAGTCAGCACCCCGGATTTAGACGCCTAGCGTGTTGGTGGTATCATTTATGGCAGCTGTAGTGGGCAGCAGGGTCAGCAGGGAAAGCTTTCTGACCGTGATGCGGGAAAGGCAGGAGGCTAGGGCGGGAAGGCCTTTGGACGGAGGTGAGGCCGAAGGAGTTGCAGCCAGCCCAGGGAGATCATCTGGAGAAGTCCCACCCTGCAAGAGATGCTCAGTCACTGGGCTCCTGCTGTCCCCAGTTAAAGACTGAAGGTTCCACGCAGCCCTGTGGCCAGCCATCTGCCACAGACTTGCTTCTGTCAGGAGACCTCTTTGCCATTTCTGCCTCTGTCCCTTCTGTACATGTCAGAAGGCTCAGACGTTACATTATCCCGTACGGCTTCCTTTCCCCTGCCCATACCATTTATGAAATTTGCCCAGATCATCGATTTGAATGCTACCCTGTTCCTGGAAGCAACCTAACTGATACCAAGATCATGGTTTCTCAGGAACAGTAGACACACACGGCTGGCTAGAGTGGGAAGTGATGGAGGAACGAGTCTAAGAAGTCAGTGAGGGCTTCTCTTCCGGAAGACAAAGCAGAGGAGTGAGCCGGAAGCTCATGAGGACCCAAGGAAGGTTTTTGTTTATTCTGTAGTATGACGTCATGGATCCCAGTGGAATGGCCCACCAGGAAGTCATTCTTCTACCCAAGCGACTGCAGGAGAAAAGCCCTTGAGTGGGTCAAAGGTGATGACATCCGGTCACTCACCTGTGATGACAAGGATGCACACCGCACCATACCGTAGAGGGATACCACAATGCCCAGATGCAGTTTTCTTTCCTTGATGGTTTCTGTTTTCTCAGGAAAAGTACTAGGCCCAGAGTCAATGTCATGGTATTTGGGAAAAGAACTGGAAAACTCATGGGAGGGTGAGTGGATTAGAGGGACATAATCAGACAGCTGGGCCTTCTTGAGAGTTTTGGACATGAAATGAAAGTGAACTCATAAGCAGATACACATAGTTTTTCTGCAGCCACACTTTCCTGCCTGCATACAGGTGTAGAGGAGGTAGGAATGTTTTTGTCAGGCTGGTGTGACAGGAGCAAGGATATTAAATATGTATGCAGATGAGGACGGGGACGATGAAGCAAGGTCCGCGGAGGAGTGGCCATAGTTTTTAACACCACGTCCCATTTCCACGACCTCACAGTGTTCACTGTGGTGAAAGACAAACATTTGTAGATGCAAACATTTGCATCACCGGGGCTCTCGGCTCTTGGCCTCCAGCTGGGTAGAACTGGAAGTCAAAGGGAGTGGGATATGTACTTTCCTTCCATATGTCCTCCGCTTACTGTGCTTCCGGGATGATTCTCTTGTCAACCCCCCCTCACTCAGCTCTCCCTGGAGTCCAGTGACCTCCTCCTCTCCCGTTCAGGCTGTTGGTGGCAACGGCATACCACGTGCCTTGTCTCTCAACACTCCATCATCTCTTCTGGGTCCCTTAGTCTATGTGAATAAGCCCTTCACGAAACTCCACTCAAGTCGTTGGGTGTGGGTCTTTTCCATGCCATTTCTTTGACAAGAGACAGCGGCCTAGAGAAATATCGGCCTTTTGGATAGGAGGCGCCTGTGAGGCTGAAGAGCCGTTGTGGGTTCTTTGGGAGGGCATGGCCAGAGCTAGGGATGCTAGACATGTTTGCAGACGCTGCTCCCTGAGCATGAGATTGACTGGGTAGGATTACAGGAGGTCGTGGGCGTGGTGGTGGTGGTTGAGGTGGGTTGAGGAGGAGAGAGCAGTGGAGGTGAGGAGACTAACCTCCTGGCACACATTTTAGGTGGCCACTAAGCCACAAAGAATGTCAGAAAGAGCGGGATGGAAAGAGAGCCAGCTTGTGAGCCAGACACTAACGTCTGCCGTGAACCAGGAAGAGGAGGCTGGCAGATGACCGCCTCGGGGCTGAGTGGGTGGTGGAATTTGAGGGTGTGGGTTTTCAGAAGAACTGGGGTTTTTCAGCTGGAGAAGAACTGCCTGTCAGCAGCAATGGGGGCCATGAAAGACACTCGCTCTGCCCCTGGGCTCTGTGGTATGTGGGGTGTGGGAGGGGGGAAAACAACCGCTTCTTGAGAACGCTCTAGGGAAAACAGGTTTCGGTTTCCAGTTAGGGCTGTAGCCTGACTTCTAAGAAAGACAATGAAGAAAATGTCCAGAAAGGGCTTCTGAAGGACTTTGCTGGTGGCACACCCTGGGGGATGCCGAGGGAAGGTTTGGAGACAGAAGGGACTTTGAGCTGAAGTCAGAGGGATGAACAGAACCATGTAGGAGAGAATGTGGTGACACAAGAGGTTTGACCTTGGACATGGGGAAGGTGTATCAACCCCAAATGCACGTGCGAGAGACTGACTCTCCACTGCATAGCACTTACATGGGAGAGCAGGGGACTGAAATCCGGGATACACTGCTCTGGTGGAACAGGCACACTTGGGGCGACAAAAGACAGAAAGAAGTCCACCCAAGCTACCTGAAGGCAACATTGCTTCCAAGGGTGGCTGCAGGAGGTGGCGTTAGCAGAGACAGTCGCGGTTAGTCAGTATCCTTGTGCTAGCCACCTTGGATACTCAGCTCTGAGGAGGAGTTCTTTGCGTAGGTTCCATCATAGGCACATGTGTATGAGAGAGGCCTCCTTTTCATGGCCTCTCAGCGCCATCTTGTTAGGGTTCAACATGGTTAACTTTACTTGATACTGAGAACTTCTACAGGTAGGAAGAGTTTTGAGCGTGGTGGAATTAGCTGTGGCCTTACTGGGAACTGAAGGACTTCTAATTTTAGCTTCTTTTTTTAAGAGCATCTTCAGAAGAAGTGTATAGGGAAAGGTGGCTGTATTAGTTAGCTTTCAGTCGCTGTAACAAAATACCTGGCACAGAGAAGTTAGGTCTACCTGGCTATATGCGATGCTGCTTTAGTTTCTGTCCTTGTCACTGTGATGAAATGCCCAAAAGAAGCAGCTTAGGGGAGTCTTGCTTTTAGCCTATAGTTAGAGAGGATACAGTCTGGATGGAGAAGGCTACAGTCTGGTTAGAGAAGGCTACAGTCCATCATGATGGAGAAGGCATGAAGGGATTCATGGTGGCTCCCAGTTATGGCGGTGGGGAATGTAACGTGTGGCTTGTTCATATCTCAGTGGACCAAAGAGCAGTAGAGAGCTGGTGGAAAGCAAGCTTGAACTATAACCCTCCGATTTGCCCACCAGTGAACCACTTCCTCCAGCCAGATCCTACCTCCTCAGTTCCACAGCCTTCTAAAGCAGGCCTGGGACCAGTGTCGGGAATTAAGCCTTCAAATACCTGAGCTTGTGGGGCAACATCACACACTCAAGCTGGAAGAGACAGACGGAAGAGCAGACACGTACTTCTGAGATGATGTGAAAGTAAGTGCGGAAAAAAGCACCCATAAAAATAACCGAGAACAGGAGATCAGAGAGATGCTCGGTAAACGCCTGCCCGCTCTTCCAGACGAGTGAGTTTAGTTCCCAGCCCCATGGCCAGGGCTTACAGCCACCTGTAACTCCAGCTCCAGGTGGTCCTAGTCCTCCTTCTAGCCTCTCTGGGCACACACACACACACGGCAAATACACACAGACACACATACACGGTAAAGTGTTTTAAAAATGGGGGAAACTGAGGCTCAGAAAGACACTTGCCCAAGGTAATAGGGCTAGAAATACGTATTTCTATCAAACTTATTCCCCCCCCCCCCACCAAGACAAGATTTCTCTGTGTAGCCTTGGCTGTTCTGGAACTCACTCTGAAGACCAGGCTGGCCTCGAACTCACAGAGATCCTCCTGCCTCTGCCTCCTGAGTGCTGGGATTAAAGGCGTGCACCACCACGCCCGGCATAAATAGATTTTATTTACGTAACAGAAAATGTGATCACTTTCGAGCGCTATCAGACATTTGAAGATGAGACCTGCGCTTGGTTGCCCTGGGCTGGGATTGATTGGAACACCGTCTAGTTGATGTACTCTGTCACTTTTGGCCCTGGCTTCACAGAAGCTAGTCTTCTAGCACATTTTTTCCCCTTGGGATTAAGTCCTTTAATATAATTATTATCCTTTTCTTCTTCCCACTTACTACTTGACTTATTCAGTGTGTCTTTAATACATTTCAGATTCAGAGGCTATAACTTAGATTAACTCGGCACAATGGCAGCTGAGCCCAGAATAAAGCAGTTGTTAGGGTTCTAGCATGAAAGGCTAGTATGAGCTTTACAAAGCTTCATCATCCAGACTCTTGGAGATCCGGAAGAATCTATTGTTTGAAAGTAACTGCTATTCAAGTACCATCTACATAATTAAGCACCCCCTCCCCCCATCAGCCTCGATGACATGGATGCTCTCACTCAGTTTGTTGCTCCTCTTTATTGCATTCGCCACCTCGGAGAGCTGCTGCTTTTCATTTTTAGTGGTGTTGACTCTTCCTGCCGGGCTGAGCCATTTCCACCTGTGTGCCGTCCAGGAATGATTCATCAGCCCGGCTGGGGCCTGCAGCTTCTGCTCTCTACGGGGACCCTTTATTTGGTTGTCTTCTAAAATCCGACACAAGCATGGGGAAACCCGGTATGCTTAAAACCGAAATCTTGGAGGTAGCTGGACGTCTCAGCAGGTGAGGGTGCTTGCTGCCATACCTCACAACTTGAGCTCAGTCTCTGGAACTCACATGGTAGGGAGGACTAACTCCTAAAAGTTGTCCTCTGAGAACGTGATTTTTTTTTTTTTTTTTTTTTTTGAGATTAAACTAGCCAGTTGCCTTTGCTTTTCAAAAAGCTCCAATACTGGGGACCCTTACTAAAACAGACTACTACTTTAGTAGTCCACCTGTTAGTTGCATCTTTGCTTTCTGTGGTTTCAACTATCTGATGTCAACCACAGTTTGAAACTACTACATGGAAAATTGCAGAAATAACTCATAAGTTTTAAATAGGATCCATTACAGCTAACTTGATGTAACATCATGCTGCTCTACACTATCCCTGACAGGGTGTCAGTTATCTTTTATGCAGTGTTTCCATGCAGTATACACTACCCATCTGTCTTAGCTATTTTGGTTATCAGATCATCAGAACTTGTGTTCAAGTAACCCCAACTTTATTTTCTAATGGCCACATTTTTTTTTTTTTTTTTTTTTTT